CGAGGGAGGGGCGTCTGTCTTGGACCCAGGCGGTGCGGGTGGCAGGGCCAGAGCCGCGCCGAGCCCCTGACGCCTGGGAGGCGAACCCGAGCCCGCGGAACGAGCTGTTGAAACACCAGGTGCTTCCTTCTGCCGTGTCGTGTGTTTTCTGTCCGGCGCTGGGAAGCTTGAATCAGTGTGGTTTGAAGTACCGTGTGTTGTGTGGACAATACGCTGTCAGCAATCAGTATTTGAAAGGCGATGATTTCTGATACGCACGGGTTTTTTACTTTGATCAGTTTCTGTGTCTGGTTTGTCGTGCAGATCTGCAAATAATTTATTGGTACAGCAGAGAGTAAGGAGAGGGCAAAATGGCATGGAAAGGAGAAGAATGCGCTGGCAGCTCTTAGGCTAGTGCAGTTGGTGCAAGGGGTGCGTGTTAAACTCCACTCCCACGTTGCCTGTCAAGTCTGTCGTTAGGTTTCACGGTATGTTAGTAGTATGCCATCCAGGATGATGTTGTAAGTCCATTCAAACATGTTTCAGAAGGTGGCCAAATTCAGGGAGAAGTGTAACTCTGTAAGTCATGCTAGGACTTTACAGACAGCCTTAGCTGATAGATTGTTTTCTCCTCAACACTTCAACATCTGTAAACCGTAGTGTACAGTGTTCTAGCAGCTGTATTTTATGACATCATGCATCTCACCATACCAAATGGTGTCTGAAAGCTCATACTGTTGTCTCTGCCTTCAACTTGCAAGACTAAATGTGGGAACATGCAGTTCACAGAAAAGAAACAACATATAAAAATAATATTGAAGAACTACTGAATGTGGGAATGTAGTTCAAGCATGATTCCATGCAAGCTCACAGCTCTGTTTTTATCCTCCAGTCCCTTGTGGAGAAAAGTTGCCTGTTCTACATACTACATGTGTGAGCTTAAAGAGGTGGTGAACAGTGCCTATGCAGAAACTTGTGGGTGCTTTAGAACTCATGCTCAGCCTCTGTCAGATGCATGGTAGGTTCCTCAAGGAGGACGACCTCCATGTAGAGAACGAGAATGAGGCTTTCCTGGCCCTGATCTAGTAAGTAAAATTCAGGAAAGGAGAAAGATAAACATATTCCAATAAGATTTTTGCCTATAAACACTTACTTGGGGTCTCAGCCAACACACTCGTGGCTACCAGCCGTGACATGATGATGCTCAACAGTCATTCTGGCCCTCTAGCTCAGATGGAAATGATTTTGAGTGACAGGAAGCAAGAATGTGCTTGAAGCCTGCCTTCTGTTCCAGAGGAAGGGGTTATCATTTGACTTTCTAATGATTTTAGGAGTCTTCAAAGAGGATGTAAGATTTAAGGATGAGGGTTTTGCTTATACTGTTGAGCTTACCTGCTTTGCTTAGATGTAGCTGAAACTGACAGAGATGCCATGTGAAGCAGCTGTTCCTAGGGCAACATGAGCAGTTAGTGCCCCTGGAGGAATAACAGACAAGATCACACTACCTCACAGACAGCTCAGAGACGTGACATAGAAAACAATTCCTGGACTGAGGTACTGCGTATAGGGTTTGGTCTTCCACATCATGGTGACCTGTGGAGGAGTAGTGTGCTCTCTTGGGGATTGTGCTGATGCAAACAAATAGGTTTTTAACACTTGCAAGTAGGGTGATGGAAGGAAAGAGAACTCGACTCTGACTGGGAAAATAAGCATTCCCATGGATGCTAATGCCTTGATGACTAAGGGGAAAAAAGTGAAGGTAATTTACATTGTGACAAGACAGCTGAATAGGTGCTTCTTACATGTTCAGACGGTAGATTACTTTGACACCGAGACAGGGAAGTGGTGCAATACCTCACCTTCCTTACTGAACTCAGTCGTAAACTTGCTGTTGCATTTTCCACAGGAAAGCATCCTGAGTGTGCACAGCTCCAAAAAACATTTTTTGATACCACCTTGCAGAAAAAGAAGTGAGCAAATTAATCAACATGTTTGTGATATTACCAAATACTGCACTTTAGATTTGTTGCATCCAGTGTGCTCAGTTGGAGACCACAAGGAGGTCCTTCCTGTATGGAGGCATTATTTATGCAGATAAAAGATGACCTCAGGAATATTCTCTCAGTCCAAGTACCTTCTGAATACACCAGAAAGGAGAGAAATGGGAAAATTCTGGCAGATCCTTCAAAAGTTCTTGACTACTTAGTTTCCCATACAGTAAAACTACCTTTCAAACTTCTTCTAAAAATTCCAATTAATTTGGAAGGGTAAAAAGAAAATTCCCTGTCAATAAAGAAGGAGTTTTCACTTATACCAAAATCTTTTTCACTTGACTTCCTTGCCTTGCAGTCTGTAGTAAGTTGTGATTGCTACTCAGCATATACTTCAACAATCCCTGTATTTCAAGTAGCTGTCATTCATTTTAGGGTCAATTAAACCAATTTAAAACCATTAGACTTTGAAAAATAGTTTACAGCAGAAATAGACTCAGAATTAACGAGTTATTTGTAGTAACTTTCTATGCAGCCAGATTCTTCTCAGGCATTTGTGACCTGTGTTTGGTTTAGGCAAGGTTAGGTACTCATTCTGCACTTCATGGAACACTTTTGTGTCTACAGATCAAATCAATCCTGTTTCTAAGGAAGCCAACAGGAATTTAGTCCATGGAAGAAGTATTAGATTCTTTGCTAATATTTCAATTAGATTTACTACATTAGGCTTTGCGTAAGTTCCACCATCAGTGTTACTGAAGAACTCAGAGTGTGCAGTGTGAAGAAAAGGCCTCAGGAATCCAATCTGTAGAACAAAAGTATAATAGATTGTCTAGAAAACTTGACAGAAAATAATTTAGTGAATTAATTTTTTATATATATACTACGGAAGGGAAATTTTTCACTGAATACTTCTTGCAGTGTTGGAGGAATTTACAATTTCTGCTGTGAATTAAATATATCCTTTAAGTTATGTCAGAGAAGATGAGGGTGAGGTCATAGAACAGAAAGATAAGGATTTACTACCTGCACAGTTTCAATCAATTTGATCAGTCATGCTAGGAAGTTATCCTCTGTGGAAAACTACTTTTTCTCTCAGGTCAGTTCTGTTAGGCAGGCTGACAAGTCTTCCTTAGGATGGAACAACTTGACATGCAGGACATTCTAAAAGGACAGGAAACTATGAAGTCAAACACACATATCACTGCTTTGCGGAATCAGGACTTCTTTCTGCACTGGTGAAGAATTCAAGAGGTTTCTTTGTGAACTTGTTCTTGAAGACACAAACGACAGTTGCTCTCTTCCGGTCTTAAGGAACTCTCCCAAGTGCCATGACCTTTCAAAGATGATTGAGTAGTCTCACAATGACATCAGTGATATTCCTTGTTAGCATGGGTGCCAGAGGAGAGTAGATTAAACAAATTTAATAGGCCAAGGATTTGGGGCTTCTTACAGGATTCAGCTGTTCTACATGGTAAGGTTTTTTTTTTACTCCTGGTAGTGCGCCTTTAACCTGAAAAGGGGAATCAATCAGATGACTTGCAAATGTGTTGCAGAAATGCCCGCAAATAGGTGATTTTTATTTCTGTCTCTACATATTGTTTCTTCTTCCTGATAATTAATGGGGTTTGTACCAAGAACTAAAACAGACCCTTTAAGCGTATTCTCTCTTGCTATTTGTTTCATATAGTTCTCTAATAACAGCACAAATATGTTGACCCTCACTATCTTTATGGAAATGGAACATGCTATAGGAGTAGCTTTTCTCTGTGCATTTTCTCTGATTTTGCCTCGTCCTTTCAGAAAAGCAGATGCTCTTAAAAAAGAAATGGCAGTGGCATCAAAAAGCTAGTCCTAGTTTTTCTTCTGTTTCTAAGGAAATATGATCCATGGGGAGCCACATGCTATTGTTTCACTATCAGAAAAACACATATCTCTGTACTGGATTTGTATGCACCTAGAGTAATTTTGGAGCACCTTATTAGATCTGCTGTAAGCAAATGATCCTACCCTTCAGGAATCCCAAGGCTCTGCAATGAGAATTGTGGAGCAAGGAAGACTCACCCTTGTGGGAGGAGGACCCGTTTAGGGAGCACTTAAACAAATGATATACGTAAGTCCCTGGGACATCACCCACAAGTGCTGAGAAAGTTGACTCATAGCACTGGGAGGCCACTCTTGATAATCTTCAAAAGGCCACAGCAATTGGGAGTGTTCCTCAAGACTGGAAGAGAGCAAGTGTCACACCTGTCTTCCAGAAAGGTAAAAAAGGAGATCAAGGGAACAACAGGCCAGCCAGCTTCATGTGAATCCCCCCTGGGAAGGCAATGAAGCAACTAATCCTGGACACCATTTCCAATCTCAGGAAGGACAAGAAAGTGATTGGGAGTAGTCAGTGTGTGTTTTCAAAGGAGAAGTCATGCTTAACCAACCTGATAACCTTCCACAGTGAGCTGACTAGCTTGTTGGAAGAGTGGAGAGCAGTGGGATATTGTTTACCTTGGCTTTAGTAGGGCTTTTAACACTGTCTTCCACAACATCCTGATAGACAAGCTGACAAAGTATGGGTGAAATAATGGGCAGTGAGGTAAACTGAAAACTGGCTGGACTGCCAGGCACAGAGGTTGTGATAAGGGGCACAAAGTCAAGTTGGTAGCAAGTCACTAGTGGTACACCTCAGGGATTGATACTGGGGCCAATACTGTTTAACTTCATGAATGGTCTGGATGATGGGGGAGCATGCCGCTTCAGCAAGTTCACAGATGATACAAAATCAGGAGGAGTGGCTGGTAAATGTGCCGCCACTCAGAGGGACCTTGATAGGCTAGAGACTTGGGCAGAGAGGAATGTCATGGTGTTCAACAATGGGAAATGCAAGAATATTGCACTAGGGTAAGAATAACTGCAGGCATCAGAACATGCTGTGGGCTGAGCAGCCAAGTAGCTCTGCAAAGGACCTTGGGGTCCTTGGGGACAAGAAGCTGACCATCCACCAGCAATATGACGTCACGATGAAGAAGGCAAACAGCATCCCAGGCAGCATTAGGAAGACCATTGCAGCATGTCAAGGAAAGTGATCCTTCCTCTGTACTCAGCACATCTGGAGTGCTGAATCCACTTTTGGGCCCACCGTACAAGAAAAACATGGACATACTGGAGTGAGTACAGGGCAGGACGACAACGATGATTAAGCATCTTTCATGTGAGGAGAGGCAGAGAGATAGGACTATTTAGCCTGGAGAAGTGATCGCTTGGGGGGGATCTTATCCATGTGGATAAATACCTGATAGGAGAAGATGAAGAAGAGGGAGCCAGGCTCTTTTCAGCAGAGCCCAGTGACAGGACAGCAGCCAATGGACACAAGTAAAAAAATTTTTTTTAAAAAAAAAAAAGATAAATTAAATCTGAACACAAGAGAACACTTCTTTTACTGTGAGGTTTGTCAAACACTAGAACAGGTTGTCCAGAGAGGTTATGCAGTCTTCATCTGTGGAGAATACTCAAAACCAGACTGGAGACAGTCCTGGGACATCTGCTCTTGCTGACCCTACTTGAGCAAGCAGGTTGGGCTAACCAGCCTAAGCAATTCTGTATCTCACCTGCTACTTCTTTTGATAAAAATCCACCCTTAATGTGTAATTGCTTATTAAAAAACTACATTGCATTGTCTTCTCTGGGTTCTTTAACCCCACTCCATCCATTCAATATGGGGTTTCATAACCTCATGTTCCCAAGACTTTACCTTCATGGTATTGCTTCTTCTGTAATTCACATTTCAAGTATCTTGTCCCCGTATTTACAAACCTGCCTCTTTATACCGCTCCTCCCTGATGTCTCATCATATTACTTCCTACTAGTCTGCTCTGACAGTCTGTCCCTTTGGTCTGTTCATCTTTGTGCAGCTCTGTGCTTCCCTTAGGCATGGAAAAATCTCTATGCCCTGCTTATTCAGATTCTACTTGAATACTGCACTGCTGTGATGATTAGAGATAGAACTGTAACAGCAACAACAAGGAGTAGCACTGCACCACATGTTTATTAGTTGTAGGTACATTTCTTGCTTTACCGTCTACTTCTGGGTGCTCTTTAGAAAGCAGCTGCACCTCGTATTTTAGGACGTTAGTGTTTAACATAGCAGATGCCACCAGCAGCGTCTGCTCTTTGCTCCATCCAGTCACATTCTCATGGCAACAAATCAGCATGATAAACTGAAAGCAGTGGTGGCCTGCTGTGGTACTGGAGGCCTTGCAGCAGAAGACACGTTTGTCAACATGAATGTGAAGTAAGGGCGAGACCCTTCAAGCCCTCTCACCTAGCTGGTGAGTCAGCTTCCCAAGGAGTCTCTCTCATGAAACAACTGCCTGCCTTCTGGAGATGAGAACTACATGTACTTAAAGGCTAGCCTCTCTTGAGTGTTGTAGCTATAAACCTGTGTCTTCAGTTTGATGGTCTGAACCTGCGAAATGCTCTCTGCTCTTCCAAGACAGCTTATTCAAGCTGTTAATGTCAATATGAGTTATAGACCCTGGCTTAGCTTTAGTTCCAGCGATGTTGAAACAAGGTGAACAGCTGCACCATGTGTTTGTAGTGCAGATGGGCTTAAACTGAAGGAGTGAAGTGTAAGCATGTTTTCTTTGTGGGCTTTAGTCTTCATAAACCTATTTAGTCGAACTGTTAATTGTAGCTGTAACTGCCCAGCTCAGTGTATGTATGTGCAGCAATCTCTACAGATCTGCTTTGAGGGAGCTTCCAGGCTGATGTGATGTGCAGGATAGCTGCAGTGAAGCAGACAGGTGCTGTTAGCTTTATGTGCCTCTCAAACCAGTTCTTTTTGGCTCCTGTAACTTGCAGAGGAGCAGCAATCGGACAAAGACATTTCTCAGATACAGGAGTCTATAAAACGCTAGGTTCTCATAACTGAAAAGCTATTTTTTTTCTGACTTCTGTCTATAGGTTGAAAGTCCCTATCCATCAGCAGGTTGAGGGAACTTCTTAAATTATTTCAATGGACCTGGACCAGCCCCTAGTCATACGTGCTCTTGCCTTCTAATTGCAGTTAACTGTTGGCTCTTGCGCAATGAGGTTCTAGTTAGAGAGATTTCCTGAGATGTGATTCATGTCCAGATGTCAGTTGTACAATACCTTTCTCATCTCCATGCTTCTAGAGAGTTGGAAGAACTTGCGTTTGAATTTTCTGCTCTGGAAATATCTGTTCTACTAAATATTTAATTTCTTTAATCAAAAACATTCTGAAGGACTCAGTAAAAATCCCACTACTCT